TTAGACACCCATAAAAAATGAAAGGGAGAGAAGTATGGTGGTTAGTGCGGCATCTACAAAATATATTAGGGTTTCCCCCAAAAGAATACATCTCATCTCTCGAACATTTTTTTTAGGAGGCAACGTAATATATTGCATCAATGCGAGCATGTGCATAACTGAGGTGAAGGAAATTATTATTTTCATGTGGTGATGGGCTAAAATAATAAGAAAACACGAAAATAGCACCACAATAGCTTCAGAAGCTTTTTTGTATTACAAATATTATTCGACATTATTTTGTTTGGGGTTTTATTAGGTCTTACCACAAAGCATGTGGTAAGACGGTAGTTAGAGGTTATTACGCATTTATTTTAAAATTCAATCAATCAATTATCACGCAAAATCTAAAAATAAGAAACAAAAAAAAACGCCTTAAATATAAACCCGATTAAAAAACTTTAACTAAGGATGCATGTTTGAAGCATTTTGATATTGAGTAGGTGATTAAAAGGGAGATGAATGACAAATGTAACGTCCCACTAAATCAAAATTTGCATATAACGATAGTAAACTCTATTTATACCTAGAGGAGAAATTCATTTTCGCTTAATTCTTGTTAAGTTCTCCTTGAATGCTGCTCACTAATAGTAATAATAACAATATATATAAAGGAATGATATTTACGTTTTATCATATTTAAACACCATAAATTTCTTAGCATTTACATTGTCTAACGAAGACTATTGGACGGAGGTTGGCAGATCTTTTTTTTATCATTCCTTAGCTTGGTTGCTGTTGGGATATATTTTTCATTCGAAGCTTTAACGGGCGCTACCAAAAATTCGATTCCTTCCTTTTCAACAACAAGCTCCAAACTACCAACTTCACACCTTGTCGGCAAACTTCGTAGTAGCGGAAAGGATCTCAAAGATAAAAAAACATATAAATATATATAACAGGAAGAGGACGCTACGCCACTTCCAGCTTCGCTATTAATAATATTTTTTTTTTATTAAATTTCCCCTTCCGGCTTGCTGTACGACGGCAAAGGTGATTTTACCACCGATGAAGAGGGATCCTGCGGGGAATACCATTCGGGAACGGGTGCTTGCATCATCATATTTCCGTTTCCACTGTTATTAATATGATGATGGTGATGAGAATACGGAATATACTGCGTGGTCATAGTGGGAGCTTGTAGTTGCGTATTACTTGGATTTGACGACCATGGGACGCTATGATTCCCGCGATACTGATGTCTAAATAGCGGGATACGTGTTGAAGGGGATGTGTTAGATGTTTTTTTAATCATTTCCTCACTATTCCCATTATCATCAATATTACCATTATTGTCATTATCATTTTCCTCCATGCGGTGCTCAACAAGAACCCCCTGCGGATGAGATTGGTTAGTTTCTTGAGGCTGCTGCACTTCGGTATCGAAATTTACGTTGAAATTAGGATGATATTGCCTATTATGATAATGATGATGGCTATAGTTATTTAGATTTTTACCACCAATATTGCTGCTTGTGTGTTGGGAGGAGTTAAAAAAGCCGTTTGAGAGACGCGCATCCGTCCCCTCGACGTTTATTTCAACTCCGCCATGCGCTAAGTCAGTAAGGGGAGAGCGTACGGTGCTTGTAGAGGCGCCTGAGGAATCGTTTCCGAATGAATTTCTTCTTCTTCCTTCCCTTTCTCCTTGTTGCTGTTGTTGCTGCTGCGGTGTAACAGGAAGAGGACAGTTACTTCCTAGAGATAAATACGAGTTCTGCACTTGAGAAGATCTCACTGCGTTATTCTTCTTTGTTTTTTTCTTTTCCATTCCATGCACTTCACCGTACCACATTGAAGGAGAATGCCCTCCTTCTTGTGAGCCTGTCATTAATAACAGTCCCATCTCGTCGTTATTATTATAATTATTGTCATAATTATTATGATCATCATTGCTATTGTTTTTGGTGAACGTTGGTGGCTCATTCGGGAAGACTGAGCTCAGAAAGTTCACGTCGTTGCTTCGTGTAGGATAATGAAACATATCCTTTTCCTTTACATTTCCTTCCGTTTTCCCACTAGAGGAAGGTAGATGTTGTAATTGCTGCTGTTGCGAGCGATTTAAATGAGAATAGGATGAGGATATCGTCGTTGTCGTTTCTACATCGCCGCTAGCATTAGCATTTACGACATTACCTCCGCCGCTACCTCGAAATAATCGAGGAAATCCTCCTCTACGTTGTTGTTGTTTTGTGATTCCCCGAGCGTTACCGCCACCGTAAGCACGATGAAGTGCTTGATGATGGTGGTTATTGCAATTCATATGATGGTGATGCTGGTAGTGTTGTTGATGGTGGTAGTGATGTTGCGGAGGGGGGTGCTGCGCGCGCGCTGCCATGACCGTTGTGGCCATGCCAGGATCGTAATACAGCATCCCGTTATTATTGGCTTTGTTATTGCCGCCACCGCCGCCTCTTCCACCAGTCGCGGAGGTCGCAAACGCATAGGCGGATTGCTGTTGCATCTGTTGTTGTTGCTGTTGCATCTGTTGCTGTTGCAGTTGCATCTGTTGCTGTTGTTGCATTTGGTGTTGTTGGAAGGCCCATTCCCGGGCCTGCTGCATCTCGTAATCGACAAAGCCCATATTGAGATGGGGCTGGAGAAGCTGCGGGGGGAGTGGCTGGGGCTGGGACTTCTGGGGTTTGGATGGGTAGGGGTAGTTGAAAAGCTGCGGGATGGTGTACATGAGGGTATTCACCGTCGACAGATCTTCCCCTCCTGTGCCGTGAAGGGTCGAGGAGGAGGGGGGGAGAGGGTAGGGGTAGGGAATTTCGTTCATAAAATCCTGCGGGGCGAGACTAGGGGGGTAGGGGTAGTTCAGATCGGAAAGGGGAGGCTGCAGCGGGAGATTACTCCCTCCGCCGCCGCCTCCTCCCCCTATAATACTCGGAGTGGGGGGCGAGGGGTTGTTCGCGTGCTGTGATAGAACACTCGCGTTTCGGACATCGCCAGTAGTGTAAGGATGTTTTAATGCGGTAGATAAAGGAGTAGATAAGGATGAACCTACACCGTAACGTTGTAAAGGACTCGCTGCTATAGTAGGAGAGCCCACCACAGGCTGCGGCAGCGCAGAGAAACCCTGTTCTTGTCTTCCACCGCTGCTATTACTGCTATTGCTGCTCTGAGGTTGAAGCCACGGGGGTTTTATCGTTTCCATTGAAAGATGAGGAGGGTTCCCGCTGGCGCTTTCGCGCTGAAAGGATCGCTGCTGCGGTTGTTGATAAAGCAAGGAGGTGTGTTTTGAGAAAGCATTCCGCTGGCGCTGTTGATGAGAGATATGTGGAGCTCCACCAGGACTTCCACTATTATTAGTATTAGCAGTGCTTCCTCCAAAGGAACTCAATACGGGTGGAGGAGATACGACAGGGTCCTCCTGTGCATGGCTGCTTGCTTTACTTCCGTCTCCGCTACTGTCACTTCGGCCTGCTGGAAGAGCGCAGTACTGCGCTTTTTTTTGATTATGAAGAACGCTTTCGGTTTCTCCACTGCTAATTGGCTCTGAATCGTATAGAAGGGGGGATTGACCGCCACTATTCTGTCCTTTTTCTTCTTTAAGTGCATTTGTCAACGATGTTGATCGGCAGCACTGTGGGGAAACCCCTACCGTTATCTCGAAGCCGTGTTGGCAGGAGTTATTACTGCGTGCACGCGATTTTCGCCTTTTTGTGAGGTTAACGCTCGAAAGCGTCGGATGGCCTTCTTTTCCTCGCGGCT